TATATGTTGTTAAGTACCTTCAAGTCAGTTCAGACTCATAGAGACCCTGTACAGGATTTCTGAGGCTTTAAATCTTTGTGGAAGCAGAAAGACTCATCTTTCTTCCACAGATCAGCTGGTGGCCTTGAACACTGGACCTTGTGGTTCATAGTCCACAGCTTATCATATGGAATCACCGTGCTCCCTGTAAATATATGTGTGTGTGTGTGTGTGCTTCTGCTGTGGCACTGTAGGATCAGCACTAGCCTGTGAACCACAAGGTTGGCTGCTCCTTGGAAACCATATATAGCACTGCTATGAGTTGGAGTGTATGTATGTATACATACATATATATACACACACACACACACAAATATATATATATATATATATATATATATATATATATTGTTGCTGTTAAGTGTCATTGAGTTGGTTCCGATCCTAGAGACTCTGTACAAGGTACAAGGAGCGTTGGTAGTGTAGTGGTTATGAGTCATGCTGCTAATCACAAGGTCAGCAGTTCAAAACTACCAGCAGTATCGTGGGAGAAATATGAGGCTTTCTGTTCTCGTAAAGATTTACAGCCTTGGAAATGCTACACAGGGTCCCTATGAGTCGAAATTGACTTCACAGCACACAATCAACACCACCACAAGGTTTCTGAAGAGCCACTAGTGAGCTTGAATCTCCAATCTTGGGAATTAAACTGACTCTGCAGTCCAGTGCATTAACCTACAGTACCACACCATATATAAACAGATGTTTACAATGAAAAGACAAACTATATAATTTTTTAAAACCTGGCAAAGGACTTGAGCAGACACTTCACCAACAAGGACAAGAAGCACATTAAAAGACACTCAAATGTCATTAGCTATTGTTCTTAAGTGTGCTGAGTTGGTTTCAACTCACAGCAACGCTATATAAGGTGTCCAATGAACAGGTGGTGGGTTTGAACCACCAACGACGCATTTCACAGTCCAGTGCTGATTCTACAGTGCCACACATGGAGTGCTTATTAGCCATTAGGAAGATACAGACCAAAACCACAATGAGATATCAACTCACCCCTATTAGAAGGCCACTGGCTAAAATTTTTTTTAAAAAGGAAAGCAACAGATGTTATGGGGTTGTATAGAGAGTGGAAACTTAACCATTGCTGGTAGGTAAGTAAATGTTACAGTGCCTACTGTAGAAAACAATTAAATGTTTCCATAAAAGTTCATCGTAGTACTACTATGTTGTTTTTTGTCAAGAACTGTCAAGTCAGTTTTGACCCATAGGGACTCTGTATAGGGTTGCTGAGGAGAGACTGGTGAGCTTGAACCCTGAACTTATTGTTCCAACTGACTTTGCATCCAGGTCATTAACCCACTGTGCTACCCTGCAATCCCAATGCTGGGTATATATCCAAATGACATAAAAGCAGGAATGCACACAGAAATCTGTACATTAATGTTAAATGTAGTAATTTCACAAAACCAAAATGTGGAACAAACTAAAATGTCCATCAAGAAATTAATGAATTTTTAAAGAGTGGTATGTGCATACAATGGAATATTAGCTATAAATAGAAATGAAGACTTGATGCATACACATGAATGAACCTTGAAAAATATGATGAACATAAAAAAACAAAAGTCATGAAACGTCAAATACCATATGATTTCATTTAAATAAAATAAGCAAATATATAGAAACCAAGGAGCTCTGGTAGTGTAGTGGGTTAGGCGTTGAGCTGCTAACTAAAAGGTAGAATCTGCCAACTGCTCCTGTGGAGAAAGATGAGGCTTTCTACTCCTACAAAGATTTACAGCCTTGGAAACCCTACACGGGGTCACAATGAGTTGGAACTTATTTGATGGCATACAACCACCATCCACTACCATAGAAACCAAAGATTAGCGGTTATCAGGAGCGCGATAGAAGCAGAACATGGGGGAGGCAGGTGGGAGGGTTACTTAGGAAGCACTGAGTTTATGCTAATGGTGGTGGGCCAATTTGGCCATACAAAATGGTAAATGTAATCAGTGCCAGTGAATTATGCAAGTAAAAATACTGAATTAGTGAATATTTTGTTGTGTATATTTTGACACAAATAAATAAGAAAGGATAAAAAAATAAAACTGTTAAATACTTTAAATACTATAACTTTGGGACATAAATCTCAAAACATGTACACTTAATCCAATTAAGACAAATTCTTAGTAGCAAGCTAATATATATATATTTAATGATATAGAGGATTAAAAGAACAAAGTGTAATTTCTAAACATAAAATTATATTATTAAATTAGAAAAAAAATCAATGTTAAGAGCTTATGTCCATAGCTGAGGAGAAAGTTTACTTAGAAAAGTAGAAGACAGATATAAAGCAATTACACAGAATGTAACACATTTATGTAACACATAAAAAGAAAGAAATGAAAAATACAAAATAGTGTTTAAGAGACATAGAGAAGATAATGCGGAGTTTTAACAAGCATTTAATTTGAATTTCTGGACAAAAACTTCCCAGAATTTTGAAGAAAGACACATCTCTAGAAGCATACAAAAAGAGCACACTCTTTGATTCATTTCAAAAATAACACGTAGAATTAAATAAAGCTGGCTTCTACACAGCAACAACAAAAACTGTCAAACAATGAAGTAATATCACCAAACTGCTACGAGAAAATAACTGTCAACCTAGAATTGCTAAATGTTAGGAGTTTTGGTGTGGCACTGTGAGTTAATTCACTGGACTGCAAAGTCAGTTTGAACTGCAAGGTCAGCAGTTCAAGCTCACCAGTCACTCCTTGGAAATCCTATCTATACAGGGTCACTATGGGTTGGAACTGATTCAACAGCACTTAACAACAACAACAAAACTAATGAAACGATTTTCCAAGATCAAGTGAAAATAATACATATGTGTATATACATAAACAATAATGTATCCAATTTACTAGTGGATGTGTATGTATTTGTATAATAAAATTAAGTCTCTAAGATATACTTCAGCAAGAAGGAAAATGGAAAAATATAGAAGCTAATAAGGTTTGAGATAAAAGAAAGCACATTAAAAAGAAATTCATTAATAGAAATTATGTATCAAGAAGACCTAGTGGCACAGTAGTTAAAGCACCAGGCTGATAACTAAAAGGTCAGTGGTTCGAATCCTCTATCTACTCCATGGAAGAAAGATGTGGCAGTTTACTCCCATTAAGAATACAACCTTGAAAACACTGTAGGCCAGTTTTATTTAAATAGGGTTGTTATGAATAGAAATCCACTGGATGGCAGTGGGTTTGTTTTTTGGCCAAGACGTCTTATAAAATTATAGTAGTATTGGTTAAGATATCAAACAGATCAACAGATCAGACTAGAACATAGTCATTAATAGAGGAAAAAATTGACATTATATATCAAAAAGCAAAGTGTAAACTATTGAGTAAATGGTACTGGGACAAGTGATTATTTCATATGGATGAAATATGATATCAGATATCTACTTCATACTTTACTCAAAAATTAATTGCAGGTGGGATAGAGAATTAATATGTTTTAGAGAAAATAACTTTAATATTATAGAAAAATATATTTATAATCTTCTTGTTGTGATGTGCTATTAAATCTGTTCCAACTCTTAGCAACTCTGTATAGGGTTTCCAATGAGCAGTTTGTGGGTTTGAACAAACTGCTCATTGTGGGTTTGAACAAACTGCTATAATATTAATAAATTAATATTTATAAATTTACAATTTACAATGAGCAGAATATATTAGAAAAAACATGGTTTGTTTTTTTTTACTATAAAGAAAAACACTAATAAAATTACGTTCAATAAAAGATAGCATTAAAAAGTTAAAGAAAAAATATCACAAATATATAGTGTTGGCACAGTAGGTTAAGTGTTGGACTACTAATGGAAATAAAGGTTGGAAGTTCTGACACACCAGCCACCTCATGAGAGAAAGATGAGGCTGAATGCTTATATAGACTTACAGCCTCAACACTTAGGGAGCAGTGCTACTCTGTCCTGTGAGTTTGTTATAAAGTCAACAAAGGATCAATATCTGAAATGTATTTTTAAGCACCTTCATATAACAAAAGTATTCAATAGGAAAACTGGCAAAGGATATAAACTAGCAATTTATAGACACATAAGCAAATGTAACTGCTCTCACATTGAATAATGATGGAAATAAAAATTAGTATTATAGTGAAATACCATTCCATATCTATTTTAAAATATAAGTTAGGTAATGGCAATTGTTATCAAATATGTGGAGAAATGAGAAGCTGTATCCAATGATGGTAAAAAGATAAACTGATAAAAATCACTTTGGTGACCCATCAGATAATATCTATTAAAGTTGAAGATGTGCAGATGCTACAGTCCAGCAATTCCACTGCTGGGTGAATATACTGAAGAAACCCTCACATATGTTGTATGACTGGTAACAATAAAAGCTTCATCTACACCTGTAGGGTTTTAATTAGATTAAGAAAATAAACAATGATCTGAAGTAAAATTTACAAAATATCATTCTTACATTTCTTAGCTGGCATAATGACAATGTCACAGTTGTGTCATCTAAAAGGGAGCTTCGATCTCGACCTTGCCCAAAGCTCTCACCATCTTCAAAGACTAAGCTAAAAAGAGATGGAAAAAATAAGTATTTTCAGTATTAAACAAAATATAATTTATTTTTTCTTCTAGAACTAAGCTATTGCCATCAATCCCTTAATCAAAGGGAAAAAGTAATGTTCACACTAAATGGTAATAAAAAATGTAACTGCTGCTTGAGATTTCTCCAAACAAGTTTAATTTCTAGAAATGACTTAGTATGAATAAGGTATATAACTATAAAGCATTTTATGAGGAAAAAAAGAGTAATTTACTATTCTTTGCTAAAATTACACTCATAAATATTGAAATGTGATGCTAAGAAACTTTATATGGCTGAAAAATAATGTGAAGAAACAAAAGTCATAACGGATGGTACCTGCTCAGGAAAAGGAGTATTGAATAAGAAATGCATGAAATATATTTAAAATTTTAGAGAATCATTTTTGAGAATATATATCCTGGTGTGGTACTGTAAGATAATGCACAGAACCACAGACTGATTTGAACTGCAATGTCAGCAGTTCAAACTCACCAGAACTGACTCAATGGCACTTAACAAAAACTTATCTCTTAAACAATTTCTTCTTGAAGTTTTTATCATCTTATTTTCTGATTTTCTTTTTAAGTCAATGTATGAGCAGTATAAAGTTAATATTTAAATGTCAGTTTAAGAAGAAAAGATGTGGTAGCATAATGCAAACATTCAATTAAAAAAACTACAACATGTAAAGAAAAAAAGAAAAAAAATGAACAGATGAGTCTATAGCTACCTACAATGAATATATCTAAGTCTTAAAATCTAAAATGAAAACTTGTAAGCATTGTTGAATGCTCAAGAAATACAGGTTCATATGCTTATGAAGAACTATAAATAGCAATGCTATAGCATTAACTTTGGTCCTAGGATTTGTACAGCTTGTCACTTTCCAGTATATATCCTTTTCAATAGTACCGCAAGGAGTCCTGGTGTGGTGCTGTGGGTTAATGCGTCAGACTGCAAAGCTGTATGAATTGCAAGGTTGGCAGTTCAAGCTCACCAGCTGCTCCTCGGAAACCTTTAAAGGTTCGCTATGTGTCGGAATCGACTCGACAGAACTTTACAACAACAACAACATAATACTGCAAATTTCTTCTCAAAAGTAACTTAATATATGGTGATCTCTAAAACATACAACCAGGTCACATTTATAAATATATCTCAAAATAAGAAATAATTCTTTATATTAGAAATCCTAGTTGTTTCATTAAGTCTCCCAAATATTACTGTTTTGTCTGATTTGCACACTTTTCATCTTTTTAACAACTATTGTTAAGACAGATAGATGTTCCCTACGAACTTTAGCTTAAATAGAACATTAAGCAAATTATTTATTAAACATAATACTTATTCAAAACTAACAAAAATATATACAGGAACTCTTCCATTATAAATTCTGACTAAGTGCATATATTGCTGACTTCCAGTTGTTTCCAAAACCACTTAGTTAGAATGTGTATACACACACACAAAAAAAATCCTAAGTTGCTTTTGCTTTGGTTTGCTTTTTAATGTTATTATCATATTCTTATTTCCAAGATAAATTTTTTTGCCTTACTTAGGGAGTGTACAGACTGGGGGTTTAGGTCGAATGATTTCTTTGTTGACAAGCTCTTTCTCCAAGTCACCTCCGGCCAAACACCAAAGGTAATATACTTCTTCAATAGATCTTTCGGACAGGTAATCACTGTTGATATCTATTAACAGAAAGTTAAAAGAATAAAGTTATCATACTTCCTATTTTTATTTAATCAGATAGTAATAGAAAAAGAAGCAAGAAAATCTAAAGAACAAAGCAAGTTTCCTTTGGAATTTCATACTATAAATTGCACAGAAAGTGAGATGTATTCATTTAATATATGTTCAGTTTGTTTGAGAAAAAGAGAAATAAGGTATTTATTTATATAAAAATACAAATGGAAGAACCATAATAAATAGCAATGATAAAGCATTAGCTTTGGCCCTAGGGTTTGTACAGCTTGTCACTTTCCAGTTTATAGTATGATTCCCTCTTCTATAGTACTGCAAATTTCTATAGCACTGCAAATAGTTTTTCATCGGGTTTTATGTGCATTTACTATATTAGAACAGAGGGGGGACGTCATGATCCTAGCAGTTGATTCAATTACATTCAAGTAATTTTTACCAGGTTTTATGCTCAAATTGTAGGCAACATAAAACCATTTTTTTAATTTTTAAAGTGTTTGCTTTTCTGAATTGTAGGTAAGTGTCTTTGGATTTGACATGATGCCTTTATAAACTATCATTAAATTGATGATTAAAAGGATATGAGTTAAAATCTGTTAAATGATAAGAACTAGAATGAATTCCTCAAAAATAAAGTGGATAAAAGAACGATGTAATTTATTTATATAATGAGCAAAAATGTATTTAAAGTGTTGCTGTTAGGTGCTGGCAGTTGTTCTGACTCATAGTGACCTGATATACAACAGAAGGAAGCAAGGCCCAGCCCTGCACCATCTTCTCAACTGCTGTTTGAACCCACTATTGCAGCCACTGTACCAATACAGGTATCTCATTGGGAGTCTTCCTCTTCTTTGTTGACTCTTGACTTTACCAAGCATGATGTTCTTCTCCAAGGACTGTTGCCTCCTGGTAATGTGTCCAAAGTATGTGAGACCAAGTCTCGCCATCCTTGCATCTATAGAGTATTTTGGTTGTTCTCAAAATGTAATTGCGCATAAAAACAACCCCAATTTAAAATTGGATACACAACTTGATGGCACCCAACAACAACATAGAATATTTCAGGCACAGTGGTGGTTTAATGGTAGTATTTTTTTTTTCTCCACGTGAGAGACCCAAGTTTGATTCCCAGTCAATGTACATCATGCACAATCATCACTTATCTGTCATTGGAGACATGTCTGTTGCTATAATGCTGAACAGGTTTCAGCAGAGCTTCTAAACTAAGACAAACTAGAAAAAATGGCCTATCAATCTATCTCCCAAAAGTCAGCCATCAAAAACCCTACAGTCTGATTCACAACTAATCAAGAAGATGGTGTAGAATGAGGCAACATTTTGTTCCATTGCACATGGGCTCACCACAAGTTGATGGTCAACTTGATGAGATCTAGTAACAGCAACAACATACACTATTTTAGTGATATAAACACAGATTCAGTTTTAAATTGAATATATTTTCCTTGTCTGTCTTTACTTTTTAAAAACTAATTTAGCAGAGTCAGTGACAAAGCCACAGATGACTAGAGTGGAGAGTGAAGTTTCCAGCTGATAAGAACAGAGGGCATATGCACAAGAACACCACAATTGTAGATA